GGATGGGGGGGGGGAAAGGGGGATAATGGTTTAAAAAGAAGCTGTAAGCAGCCAAAATGCAGCGCTGCCAAATCATTTTCCGTGCTGGCTCTGCCCTTCCCAGAATTGTAAGAAAAAAAATTGATTTATTCTGGGTTTTTTATGGGTTTGCAAAGCTTTATGCTTTGCTGGGAAAGGGAGAAGGAAGGGATTGGGTACCAGGATGCTCTTGACGGGGAAATCCTTCAGTCCCCGGTCACGGGGTGAGTCAAAGACGACGGGGAAAGTCTTGTGGGGAGCTTGCACGTAGCCGAATTCGACCTCGTCCTGGAGAAGGGATGGAGAAGATGGGGGGACCCCCCCTGGAGCTGCTGCAGCGAGGATGCCACCGCCCTGCACCCCCCTGGATCCGGCGGTCCTGGCGGTTCTCCGGCAGCGGGCAGACAGTGAGCGGGCACTTGGCTTTCTCGGCCACGGCGCCCACGGCCGCCACAAAATCCTCATTATCATCCACGCTGGGAAGAAAAATGGGATGTGGGGGCTGATCCAGCACCGGGCAGGATGCGGCAACCCACCTAGAACCCACCTACAGACGAAGACCTCCAGCGGTGCCGCCGTGTTGGGGGTCATGATCCACGGAGCCACGCGGAAAACCACCGTGTCGGTGAAAATCGGTGTCTCCAGCAAACTCTGAGATGAGGGTAGAGGGGTGGACAGGATTTGGGGTCTGCTGCCCCCCACGTTACGGCTCACCCCAATACTTCCCCCACCCTGGGGCCGGTACCTTCTCGGGGCTCTCCAGCAGCGTGACGTGGAATGCCACCAGTCCCGAAAAGCCGATGTCGGGGAAGGCGAGTCCCTCCACGTAGAAGATGCTCTCCTCCTGATGCCGGCTGGGTTTGACGGCGTAGGCGAGCTTGGAGCCCCCCAGCACATGTTTGTACTCCTCCAGCGCGACACTGTCTGCGGGCGCAAGCACCGTGCAACCCCCCCTTAAAAAACCGACCCCTTTTCTGCCCTGTTTCCGCTCTGGTTTTTTGCTAAAACCTCGCCAAAAAAGGCATATTTGAGCCCACGGAGCATGCACGGGGCAGGGAGCAAAATCACCCGCTGCATCAGATAAAACCGCGCCGTGGGATGTAGGTTGGATGGTGCAGAAGAGATGCACGCTCTGCTGCAAGCGTTTGGCTTGAACCCCGATAATTTGGGGTGTCTGTCTGCTCCCCCCGAAATCCCCACGTGGCACTCACTCTGCCGCCGTAGAAAACACCGACTTTATCGGCGTTGCCCCCGAAGTCCACGTGGAGGAGGAGGCGGTGGCCGGCGAAGATGGTGCGAGGTCCTCGGGTCCGCAGCACCATCTGTGACATGTCCTTCAGGTCTAAAGGGAGGAGAAAAAGAGGTATAAGAAAGGAAAATTTTGGGGGGAAACTAGGAAAATGGGGGATGTGCCGGTACCGGCGTAGGAGCGGATGGCGGTGTCGCGGTTATCCGGCATCTCGGCTTTGGGGTCGTCACGGTCGCAGTTCACCAGCAGGATGGCCCCGTGTCCATCGGGACCCCACGTCCACGTCGCCTGGAGGAGGTT